GCTTGGTATCTACAGAATCTGGTTTCTCCTTAGATCCATCAATAAAAACAAGTTTATTCTTAACTGATAGGGCAATGGTCATTGCACGGCTCCATGAGGTATGATTTTTTCCTGTGAGTAGTTGAGACACTAGCACCAATCCGGGATTGTCGGAATGATGAAGGAAGCATGGATTAGAAGGGTCATCAATAGCTGATTTACTCATGGATGACCTTGAATCAGGATGATTATCTGTTGTAATAAAGAAAATCGTTTCTGTACTTCTGTTTCTGTTTGGAAATGATGTCTCAGTAGATAAGAATAAGTCTACGAGCTATAGACTCAATAATAAAAGACTACGCCTTATCATGAAATGACAATGAATAAGTAGTCATTGGAAAATTTGCTCGTTATTTTGTGAACTCAAAATCATATTCCTTTGGACCCATACCCAGTAACACAACAAAACCAATAAAGAAAGTTTACCTTGCAGAATTCAGCACTACTTTGTTGTAATAATCTTTTCTTCGTATTCTCTTCTCTTTATTCTTTCACTTAAAAGCGCTTGGAAGCAACTTAGTGATTGTTTGGATTTTATTATAAGTTAATGTCATAGAAATAAGTGACACATAAGTGGATTGTAGTTGTGATTCCTACTGAACGTAGTTAAAATTAAAGTTTGACTTTAATCTTTAAATTATAACATGCTTATTGAAATAAAAAAAGCACTTAGGGAGCTTTTTTTTTTTTTAGTGGGATCAAAAGATTTCACCCCTCCTTCTCTATAGGAGGCTCGAATCTAGGTCATTGACTTAGTAAGGTTTCAATCTTACCACTTGAGCTAGGCATTGGTCTAACTCAGGAAGCTCAAGGTTGTAGAGGAGAAAGGTGAAATAAGGGTTGAAGTGGTGAGATAAATCTGCAGAAAAAATGAGGGCAAGGCTTATAGGTAAGTGTAATTAAATAAGATGTAAACACTCGATTATATTCCAGTTATGGGAAGGCTAGGGCATCAAGACCTGCTTTTTGATCTTTCCGTCCATAGGCATTTGTTTGTTGAACACTGGAGAGAACATTTAAAGACTATACTGATAATTTCCTTCTGACTACTCTCTCTTTAGCAGCAAGGTTCTTGGTGGCAGACAATTCCAGCTAAGAAATGGGCATTTTCTTTTTCATGTATGCACTGTACATGCAGCCTAACAAGTCATGGAGATCCCGCAATTTTCTTGTTGTCTATCCCGCATTTTATTTTGTGTAAATATGTGTTAATTATATCAAAATTACTTGATACTGGTGATGATTTATAAAGTTGTATTTATTGGAAGTGTGAGACTAATATGTTTTTTCATTTTTGGAATTTCTGAATAATAATTCGGCGATCATTTTTTTTTTTCCTTCCTTTCGCCTCTAGGGCAATTGTTTTCTTTCATAATTTTTGTGTTTTCATAATTACCATGGATGGCTCTCAAGTCCATGGTTTACTATAATCTGTGTGCGTGACGCTTGCCATCCCGTCCTATATTCACCATCATCACCAATTCATCTGTATTTCTCATGTTCTAGATTCCAGTGGTCTGGTGCACGAGACGTGTGAATCTATACTTTGTTATCATTTTCCATGGTGGTTGTCGTCTCCATTAGTTGAAATGCATTGTGTTCTTACAAAAGAAAATCAAGTTAAAGATTTTCTTGATTTGTCAAGGAATAGCTTTTGGTCCAACATATGATACTTTTAAATCTGGAATTTCTATGGCATCTATCAAGTTGGCTTTTCTTGCGTGTGAATGTCATTTAGCACCGTTGGGGTTATAACCCCAATTTAGAGGGCGTTAATGTGATATTAAATAATGGATGATGCTACTTGTACATTAAGATGTACATAGGGGGTTACACCCCTTTCACATGGGGGTGAGACCTACTCAAATAAAAAATATTATTCAACTGGGTTTCATCCTCCATGTGAGGGGGGTGTAATATCTTATGTACACGTCTTGATGTACAAGTAGACATTTCTTTAAATGATAGATGTAGTTAAATAAATCATTTTAATTTCAAATTCATTTAGCATTACATAGACTGTGATTACAACTCCAATGATGTTGCATAACATTATTCTTTCTTGCATCATGGTAAGAAAACACAGCAGTAAATAATCACAGCCAAAAAAGGTAAATTCAACTAAGCCTTTGTTTGATCCCCATTTTCCAAAATGTATTTTTTTTTTTAAATTCATTTTCAATCATACATCATTTTAACAAAATAATTTTACAAGTAATTCAGAAAAAAATTTATACTTTTGACTACAATTTTTTTTAAAAGTCACAATTCCAAAATTTATTAATCCAAAATAATGAGGCTCAAACGATGGTTGAATGTGTGGTGAGCTTGCCTACACTTCTGTCAGACTGTCACTCACTTCCCGTGTTTTGTATTAATTGAAATATGATTTTAATCTCAAATTAAAGTCAATAATTAATTTTAATCACATATTTTATGAGATCCACAATTTTCAACCATACATTTCATCAACTTTTATCAAAATCTACTAAAAATCTAATTTTAATCTACAACAAACAACCTCTCTCTACACAAAATTAAAACGGACCACACACACCTCTCTCTCTCTCTCAATTTTTATTTTACCTCCTCTCTCCTTTTGTATTAAACAAAGGAAGAGTTTTATTGCCAAAGTTCAACCCCAATTTGTTTATTTATTTATTTCCCTTCATGAAGCACCTTACACTTTTTCTTTCTTGAATTGACATTTTATTTCTTTCTGGTGGGATGGTTCTTTTCCTTTATCCCCACTTTCTCCTATCTAATTTAGGGTAATTAGCACAAAAGGTTCTCGTCATGTGTACTCATTGCCCAAATCGTCTTTATTGTTTTAAATTTAGCATTTGCACCTTTATTTCAATCTTTCCTTGCAGAGTTGGTTCATTATGTCCATTTCGTTAGTTACTTCCGTCAAATATGGGTAAATTGGCGCAAAAAGTCTCTATCATTTCAATTTTGATAATTGAATCATCAGATCGAACTTTCTTTACGTAAAAGGTTCTTATCGTCTATTTTTTATTAATTAAAACATTGTAAAATTATTAATTTACCCTCCTATTAAAATAAACAAATAGAAAATAAGGAAAAAATATGAAAAATTATAGCTAAAGTTCTTTAAAAAGTATAAATGAGTTTCATGTAAAATAATTTAAAACATTCTAATAAAAGAAAATTATTTTATCTATCCAATGAAACCCGCTACTTCTACCCCTAGCCTCCACCACCAGTCCACCACCATCAAAATAATTAAAAATAGAAAAGTATTAAAAAAGGTAAGAAAAGAAAAAATAAAAAAATAAAAACAAAATGGTTCTTTTTCTTCATCGAATTCCGCACCCTACTATCGGCCACCACCACTACCCATTCTTTCCTTATGACTGCAACACCATCCAATGATTTAGCTATTTTCTTGTAATCAAGTTTCGTATTTCAATATCTTTTTATTTTCAGCGTAATTACAAGAATTTTTTTAGGAATTTAGCTATTTTCGGTACATTCTTGCTTTCATCTTCTTGCTACTGATTATATACTCACTGCATAAATTTTTGAATTTTGCTATGATTTTGTTCAAGTTTCTTTTGCCTCACAAAATGATGTTTGAAGATGGTTTTGTATCTTCTTCCATTAGAGGGTTTATTTAAGATTTTAATTCAAATTGCAATCCTGATTATTCTAATTCAAACCGGTTAAAAGGAAAAGAAATCTTTTTTTAAGATGATTTTTTTTTTGGGGGTATGTTTTAAATTATTTTAAATGGGACTCGTTTGCACTATTTAAAAAAAGTTAGGATTTTGACCATAATTATTATTTTTATATTATTTCTTTCTTTTCTATTTGTTTATTTAAAGAATAGTGTAAATCAGTCATTTTATAATACATTAATAGAGAAAATAAATGGTAGCAAACGGTAGGGATGTTTTGTATTGATTATCCATATTTAAGGGAAGGAATTAATGTAATGGACGGAAAGGACCAACTCCAAAAGAAAATGTTGAAATAAGGGTACGCATGTCAAATTTGAAACGATAAGTACGATTTGCGCAATGAGTACAAACGATGAGGATCTTTTGTGCTATTTACCTTCTAATTTAATATGCCTACAACAAATAAAAACTCAAAAAATTAATTTGAGTTCACCGACTAACTAATTTATTAGTTAAAAAGTCTTAATATGAAATTGGAATCCATTAAGTTCAAACGAACAATTTGGTCCATCTAAAGCTCAATTGAGCATTCGAATTTCTAGATTTACTCCCTTTGACAACGTCCATCTTTTCATATGAAATCCCAAGCTCTCTAAACATGTCTTATTCTCACTAATATTTTGTTCCATGTAGTAAATTATAATTGTTCTGCTATGGTCGGTTGCACTGGGCATGTGAATTTATACCTTCTGATCCATTTCCATGGTTGTCATCTCTAAGAATTCAAATGAATTGTGTTCATACATAAGAATATTTTTTGTCCAACATATGATGGTTATAAAGCTGGAATTTCCATAGCATGTCAAAGTTGGCCATTTTCATCAGAATATTATTATTCTAAAAGGCTGTTTAGATGATAAGTATGATTTACCTTAAATAATTTTCAAGTTGACGACAGATGTAGAATATATTCCATCATTTTGGCTTTTCTTTGCTCACTTATGCAACTATTTTATTTTATATTATAGGATAATGAGTTCACCTTATCACAAACCAGAAACTCACAAATTAATAATTTGAGTTTACAGTTCACCAGACAAGAACCAATTTAGTCAAAAGTTCAACTGCCACTATATTATACGGTTCTATTACACGAAAAGGAAGTAGACACTAGAATCTGATTCTCTAACTGAGGCATGGACGAAACTACAAAAAGTTGCCAAACTTGGCATATAAAATAAATCAACCGGTTCATAGAACCTTGTATTAAGCTTCTTTTTGCATTTCAGTTCTCAGAATCAAGCAAAAATAAGAGAGATGACAACAAGGAAACTTAGGAAAGAGATATTATGCCGGCAGTGTGGGGTGAAGTTGCTTGTGCCTCTTGAGGAACGAACCATACACTGTCCATCGTGTGGTGGTATTATAATACTGCAAAGTCGCTTCAATGACAATGTTGCTCCTGGAATGAATGGTGATGTGAACTCTCTGCCGAGCAACACGCAGACTACAGCCTCAAGCTTTGCGGCACACAATTTACGTCGGGAGCCATCCAAGGCAGGTATTCTTTTTCGTGTTCAGCCATCTCAAATATCAAAGCAGGTGTCCCCTTCTCCTGCACATGGAAAGAAACGAGCTATTTTGTGCGGCATTACCTACAAGGGACATCAAAAGAGTCTCAAAGGTGGCATTAATGATGTGTTGTCGATGAGAAATCTTCTGATTAAGCGGTTGGGTTTTCCCAGTTCTTCCATTCTTCTACTCACAGGTATCACTCACTTTCTGCCAAAATTTTAAACAAATGCATATTTACTTGCGCAACAAATATGCATAGGAATTCGAAAGTCTTAAATAAATTGTATTGCAGAAGAAGAAAGAGAGCCGTACAGGATTCCAACTAAGCGCAATATCCGAGCATCCCTCCGTTGGCTTATTCAAGGTTGCAGGTCAGGAGATTCCTTGGTGTTCTACTACTCGGGCCACGGCTCACGAGTAAGAGATCGTGACGGGGATGAAATCGATGGATATGATGAATCATTGTTGCCTGTTGACTACGAGACTGAGGGAAGGATACTGGATGATGAGATCAATGCCACCATTGTGAGGCCACTACCCTATGGAGCTACACTTCATGCCATCATTGACACCTGCTACAGTGGAACCTTCTTAGATCTTCCATATCTGTGCAGGATAAACAGGTTAGAATTTGCACATATATACACTGAAAAACTTTAATCATTCACTATCAAAACTTGTAAACTAACACATCATTTCAGGGAAGGATACTATAAGTGGGACGATCATCGCGTATCACACATATATAAAGGTACCAGTGGGGGACATGCCATATCTATTAGCGCCTGTGACGATCATCAAAATTCCGTAGATACCACGGTTAGTACCACAAACTTTTTTTATCCTAGATGCTGTGGGGATGTTCTTAATTAAAAACACTACATATTAAAACCTAGAGTGTTGAGTGGGTTTTGACTTGGTGCAAACCACAACTGCTTATGACTGTCCTGATGCAATGAAAAGATCAAACGAGTTTCTTTTGGTACACATTATTTTTTTCATTTTCGTTCTTCTACTCATTTTCAACCACACGTTCTTCAATAAAATAATATTTTTCATCACATCAATAACTCTTTCTTCTTTTTCAACCATATATTTCTCGTCATATTAAAAAAAAATGCATTCTTGGCTACAAATTCAAAATCTATGTCAACACCAGTAATCCAAGCAAATGAGAACAAATTGTAATTATGAATCCGAATTCCATAGAGTGTTCGGTTTTTACGGACTCCAAAGTTACCAAGTAACTTCTAAATCCACCCTCGATGACAAGAAAAAGAAATTATTAGTACCAAACATTAATAGAAACATAAATTAGGTAAAAAGAAATTAAAGTTCAAATCAGTAGACTGATAAAGGTAGCCTGACAACAAGCCAATACTTTATAGACTAATAAAATGCCTAATATGCACATATAAGAGTTATAAGGAACACTAAAACTCAATGTTACAGAGCTCATCGCACCCAGTTTTACACTCTCCAATAACTAATCTATTCCAAAACTCATGGTTCTGAATACAGAAATAAACACATTATTCATAAACTAAACCAAAGCAACATTTAATTTAACATACAATGAAAAGGAGAAGGAAACAAGTCAAGTGAGGTAATTAAGCTACCTTATACCTCCATTAGAAATGTGCACGGTTATTTGGACTCTTCCAGTTGTGCAAACCAAACCCCATTTTTTGATTTCAGCAAGGTTTGATTTCAAATCCAATGCTTAAAAGGGCTGGAGCTAATTTCACTGTGGTGTCCCCACCCAGATTCAATGCCTCACCTGTCAATTCACCTTCTTTGTCCACTGACCATTGGGTAGTTTGGTTCTGATGTGGTCCGGTTTTGTTGAGTTGCAGATTGTGTGCAGATGCTGGAGAAGCAGCGGCAACAAGAGGACTGCTCATTGGGCCATGACGTTTTTTTGGTACTGGCATGTCATGGTCATGCACTCCCTTATAGGTTATTATTACAGCACTAGTGTTATCTACAGCCCTCTCAATATGCTTTCTAACAGGACATCCCGCTGATGTACACTTGTAGTAGTTCCTGGAATCCATTCAACGGGTAATTAATAACTTAACATCAAGAGAAAGCCTAAAGTAGCAAATGTTTCAAAATATGAAACCCTACATTACCATGCCTATATTTTCTAACCAACTGCGAAGAGGGTTTCATATGTGCAGAAATGAAAATGATGTCCTGAATATGGCTGGTGCTACATGAATATTGACGCACTAGTCCACCGACGGCTGATGGGCATTCCAACAGCAACTATCATCTCCTAGACTCCTACCATGACCATCAATTTGACAGTCATCAACCATCAAAGTCATCAGCCATCAGTCGTCAAAGTTTTAGGTATGATGTATGGACAGTGAGCATAATTCATTGTTTAGAGAAGCTGCTATGAACGGTCATGCCTTCATGATTTCAACATGGACACTACGTAAAAACATTGAAATTGTGTACAATGTGTTCTGCATTTATATAAGGAGATTTCAGTATTGGTAACTATAAAATCATACAAACAGAAACCAATAGAAAGAAGTTACACGTGAAAAAATTTGCACATTGCCCAGGAGATCAGCAAGTCAAGACATCAAGTACCACATATAAGAAGTACTCATTTCTTATTTGACAATTGGGTGAAAGGAAAAAAATCATGACGGTTTGAAGAAGTATTAAAGCTATTGGAATTGTCAATAGTTGGAAATCAGATGATAATCCAAGTCCTTAGAGATAGGAGATAGGCGGCCCTTTTCCTTTGCAAAGGGAATAACATAAATGTGATAAAAATTGGATAATAGTAAGATACAAGCACACTGATGGCAAAATTTACTCCGTGAAAATCAGAAGAAAAAGATAGATTTATATGGGTGCTGTCACACGAGTGCTTTCTATTGGTATAATAGATTTTTCGGAGGCAGAAGATCTAGAGACACATGATTGAAGGTGAGAGAAATAATATATCACAAGAAGGCAACCTCAGAATCGTATAAAGAACTAGAACCTCAAGGACACATTTAGTACACCATACAGGATTAGGCGGGAAAGGATTAGGAGGATAGGCGGATTAGGATAAAGGAGGACTATTGGTGGATTATTGTAATGCGGTTTTCGATGCTACACTGTATAAGAATAACATATAAGTACTGAAACTTAAAAATATTGATAAAATATTTTTTATATATATGTAGTTTTTCTTACTCATACATAAATTTACTTATAAGTGGTTTTATTTACATATAATATAAGTAACTTAGAAGCTTATAAGTAAATTATTGATTTATAAGTGATTTTTTACTAAATATTTTAGTTATATGTAAGTTCTTTATTTACGACTGTTTGTTTAGTTAAATGTGATATTTTTACCTATGAAGTAAAATTTTTTACTTAAACCTAAATTTTGAACTTGTGAGTTTTTTTCATTCACACATAAATATTTTACTAATAGTGAATTTTTAACTCACAAGTAATATTGTACATATACCTGAGTTTTTTACTTGCAATTAGAAGTACTTTTTTTTTAACTTATAAGTGAATGTTTTATTGTTTTTAGTAAAATTTTATTCATAAGTGAAAAATGATTTATTTTAAATTTTCTGATGTGCGAATAAATTCTGCTTATTTCAAACCTTATTTTATGTGAAGAAATTTATTGTGGTACTGTGTTAGCATGTAAGCGCGAGGAAGGATTACAGTTCCTAACAGTAGCATGGATTGGTAGGGTGGGGGAGGAATTAGTGTACCTGAGAGGGGGTGGGTGTGGTGGGTTAATATTATTAAAACGTGTGTTAGTACATGACCACATATTTATCGGTCTCAACCCATCTATATATAGGGATTAAATTTATCCGCATGGGTTAAGATAGGATAACTTGACCCGATTAATTTAATACGGGTAAACACCGGATAGGAAAAAGTTATCCTTATCCTGTGTAATACAACACACCAAAAGAACCCCAAATGTATCATAATCCTCCAGCACAGGTTCATCCTCATCATATAGTGTCAAGAGGCTGGGCTCTTTTACATTTTACGAGTGATCTTTTACCATACACCATAGAATTTTGGGCCTTCTAAGGACAATAATAATAAAATAAATAAAATAGAAGCAAGACATGAAGAAGCAATTAGGCAACCCATGTTAGGAGGACACGTGGCGGAATACATTATTAAGCACACAAATTAGCATCAGAGCCAGTCCTATTACAGTGTTACTTACAAGTTTGACCACCACACGCTTGAAATTCATATACATGATGGGTATTCATGGCTCTCATTAACTATGCAGTCAGGTCATTAATTTTAACGAAATTAATCAAATATAACAGTCAGCATATATTTAAACTACGGTTTCACCTTGGGTGAGGGTTCCCCTTCACCATCTTTTGTCCATACTTGCGCCATCTATAGCCATCTCCTGATATCCCAACATCACCAGCTGCATGAACAATGAATTTAGGTTTCTTTCCTGGTTTAGAAAAAGATCCTGAATCATCTGCGGCATTTTTCTTCAACCTGGCAATCCAAAGATGTGAAACAGTATCAGATCATTATGGTGACAACTATCATCAGGAAAAGAAAAATTGTAACATGATATGACAAAATAATTACTCAAGCAAGTCAGAAACTTACCGTTTCTTAAGTTCAGGTTTGTCAACATGCTCCTCGCTACCATTAACTTCCATTGTCTCATCAGAACCACTTGAGTCCTGTTGTTTTGTTTCAGGAACCTGAATCTTTTCTAGCAAAGGTTCTTTGGAAGAAGTAGACAGAACATCACTAAGACCACCACCTGCTAGAGCTGTATTGTTACTCCCATTAGCTGGCACAACTGATAGTGCAGGCTTTTCCATAGTGCAGTTTACTTTTTGAGGAGGATCGTGATTGTGGTGACTTCTATAAACAGTCTCTATGACATGGTTAGACCGATTGCAGCACTCAATCTTCTTAGCATTACAGTCAGAGAAAGTGCATCTGTAATAGCTCCGAGAACCTTCTGGACTCTTTACTTGCTTCTGACCATACTTCCGCCAGTTGTACCCATCAGAAGGTGTCTTCAGCATAGGCACAGAAGACAGAGGTTTCGGGTGATTCTGCTTGTCCTGTTCTGCAATATATGGATTGCTTCCATTCCCTACTTGTGACAATTTTTGATCGGGTAAAGTTGGACTCAGGATGGATGAAATGGACGGCGTAATAGAAGTAGGTGACACCTCCAACTTGGCCGAACCATCAGGAACCTGTCTCGGACTCTGTGCCTGAACTTGGGCAGATTGACTAGTAATACCCATCAAAGGTTCCTCAGGGACCAAACTTACTTGATCCTGAGGTGCCATAGAAGTATGCAGAATCATATTCAGTAAATCTAGTAAAAATGAACTGCTTTTCATTAAAAAAAAGATAAAATTGGACCCAAAATAAAGTCAATGGCAGATTTTTCTCCATCTCTAAATAGAAGTACAAAATTCATCCAGATCATTTTTCTCATCAGTCTATAGTATGACATCAAATGGAAATAAAAATTTTGAAAAGCCATATGTGAGTGATAACTTGAAATGGTGAAGTTGGTTGTTACTGCAAAAGCAAGTACTGAATGCAGATCATTGCGATATGAAAAATAATATTAAAGAAAAATCATTTCCAGGGCACATAAGATAGAACTGTCCGGAAGCCGTTATTTATCTCTACTTTTTGTCCAGTGAATACGAGAGCTTATTGCAGTTAATCATCCAACTCTATGTCTAGTTAAATAAACAACCAAAGTTTTGTTAACCTCAAAGCTATTTAGCAGGCTCATTCAAACTAAATATGATCTGGAATAAAAAGACATGTAAAATATTGAGAGCAAATCAACCTAGAAAATAATGTTTACAAACGAGTGTGTTTCAGGAAAATGGACAATAACCTTAAACATCTGAAAAGAAAAAGATTTATGACAGTGAAAACAGATTATGCTGGAGAATAAGGTTTATTAGTTTTTTTACCACAGCTTTAAACGTTCAGGGGTTATAATAATAATAATAATAAGCAATTGTAACACTCTCTCTAACCGCTAAGGAAAAAATTACGAAAAAAAGATGGTAAAAGTTTTGTATCGAAAACCAGATAAGATCTAGAGGTGGAAAATCAGCATTTGATTTTATATTTGAAGTACGTTGATTTGACAACATATGATATACCTACATAAATGCACAAACACACATGTAAATTTGACAACATATGATATACCTACATAAATGCACAAACACACATGTAAATTG